ATAACCCTGTGTCTGTTAGGGGTGCTGCCCTATTTTGTGCTGCTTGTGGAGGTCGCCTTGTGGCCACCTCTGTGATCCTGGGTGAGGCCCAGAAATACTAAAGCCCAATAGTGTGGTGTCATCAATATTATTAATATTATTATTATTTCTATTATCACATTATTATTTTCTATTACTGCTTTGGTGCAGTTACCCTTTGCCTGACTGGGCAGCTTAGATCCTGCTGGGATCTTTATTACACCTTATAACTAGACTCTGCTGGGGTCCATTGTACCATCACCACCACACACCCTGCTGGGGTTGTTTACTCTATACTTGGAGTACAGATATATATTACACACTACGGTACCCTTTTAGGGCCAGCATAGTGTTATTCATATAAAAATATACAGCTGAACTGACCTCTAATTTTTCTAATATTCCCTGTGCCAGAAAAATTATTGACCTCAATATGGAAACTGCTCAAAATTCAGCAGACCTCCAGACAATGATTAATGAGGCGGTAGCAGCCTCCATGGAGAAAGCTCTCTCCATAATGATGGCCTCTAATGCCGATAAGAGGAAGCCATCAAAAACCCACCGATCCCGACACGATTCGGATTCCGAGGATTCGGAACCGCATACGAGCCACGAACCCTCCACCGGCAAACGCCACTGGAAAGGGGAAAAGGGCCAACAGAACCCAACCAAGGGTAAGACCCCTGCAAAAAGGCTTAAGCCCTCAAAGGACACTACCCCGCCTCCGCCACCTGATTACTCCTCGGATGAGGAGGATACACACAAAAAGTCCTTGGCGATTCTAGATGAATGGCAGGCGGAGGGGTCAGACTCCTACGAGGACCCATGGGGCTCCGAGTCCGAATCCCAACCTGGACTCGTAACGCATACGCTACTGGGAGACTCCCAATTACAGGACACCGTGGATAACCCGCAGGAAGACGAGGATGCCATCTATGACCCATCAGGTCAGAAGTTGTTTGATCCGAGGAACCTAAGACACCCTCGTTCAGGGGACTGGACACCCCCAGATCATCTTGCAAAATTCATGCATCTTTGGCTGAGAAAATCCATGGACAAGACGGTCCGCAACCGACTACGGTCCGAATGTCCAAGACCTTCTCTACCAGATCACGTGGCAGAGACACCAGAATTTGACCAGGTGATGACCACCTTCATGTCCCGAGGTGGCCGGGACCCACGCAAAGGCGTGGAGAAGGGTTTCAGAGCAGTCCAAGACAAACTGCTAGATTCAGTAGGACCGCTTTCCAGGATCATGTACCTGGCAGACGATGCCCTTACGAAGGCAGACCAATTTGACGCGACCATGGTTCGCGAATGGGCTTATGATGTTCGGGAGTGGGCACAAAGATGTTTTTGCTTTGTGGGTAACACGAATACAGCCCTCTCCTCCGAGCGGCGCAAGGCAGCACTACTCCGTATCGACGGAAAGTTGGTGGAATTGGGCACCAAGGAATTAGGCCCTCTGGCACAGGGCAAACTATTTGGCGATCCTTTCCTCAAGGACTTGAACAAGCATGTAAATATCTTTACTTCCCTGAACAAAGCTCAGTCCTCCATGAGGAGAGTATTTAGACATATCCCCACCAGGGGTGTTTTTGGACGGGCTGGCCGCCAAAGGGGCCGTGCTGCCAGCCGATTCTGGCCTTCAGGCCCCCGTACCTCAAGACCTCACTCCTTCTACCCAGAAGTGGGATACAGACAACAACCCTCATATACCCGAGGAGCGGATAGAGGCCGTGGACCACGTACCCGAGGCAGAGCACGTTTTTCCACAGGTAAGCAATCACCTAACACGTTACCTTACTCTCCGTCCAGCAGGTCGCATATCTTTGTTCTTTCAGGAATGGCAGACCATCTCCACAGACGCGTGGATCTTACAAACTGTTCAAGGGTACATCATCGACTTCACGTCACACCCACAGCAAACAGTCATACCGCACCCGATCAAATGCTCGACAGAAGATGCCGAACTCTTACACAACGAGTTACTGGAACTTCGGTCGAAAGGCGCAATAGAACCAGCCTCCGGACCTCACGGTTTTTTCAGCAACATCTTCCTGGTAAGGAAAAAATCGGGGGATTTTCGACCCGTCATAAATTTAAAAAGACTCAACGAATACGTCACGTACAGACACTTCAAGATGGAAGTAAAAAAGAGAGAGAATGATAGGCGCTCACTATAGTGATCAGGCAGCAGTATACAAAACAAAGATTCCCCAATCTTGTGAGTGAGTAATAAAGAAAACAGAAGGCGTATACCGCGCCTAGTGATATTTATGTACAAGAAGATACATACATATATCCTTGAATATTCCAATCGTTTATAACCTCAAAAAGATTAAAATACAGAATAATAGTGCAATACAGTAAATCAAATATTTGGAATAAAATATTAAAATGTGAGCAATTATAGCTGTGTGCAATCCACTCACATTTGGATGAGCTATAACAGAGCTCTACTGTGAAGCGCCTGGACGGTACAGTCCCCGTCTAAGGATTCGTAGTAATTGCCACGGATGTTCTCAAAGTGCAGTGTGCATAATAGACATAAAAAGAGATAGCAGCAATATGGTGAAGTAAGTACTGATGGTGTATTCAATAATAAAAGTAATGTACTTACAATTTCCAGAGCATATAACTTGCTCTAGTAT